TAGGTGCACCTTTGGATAGTCCCACACCCTGCTCTGTCCGTGAAAGAAAAGACTTTATCGTCTATAAGGGCTGCCGTTCTATGGACAGAGTTGTCATGACTGAATGTGAAGGAACATGTGGAACCTTCTCACTGTAAGTAAACTGATGGGACAATGAGATTTGAATTCTGCTGGCACTGAGCTTGTTTATATAAAAGAAACAATAAATAGGTAGACGAGAGAACAGTAGAAGACCTGAAGCTATCAGCTCCCCAGATCATGAGTACATGAAATCTGTGACTGGACAGTTATTTGTCTTAATACAAAGCAGAAAAGTGTTATGGGAATGAGCCCAGAGAGCAGCCAGACCTGATGCTCTTAAGTTGAAAAGCCACTTCTCAATGATTAACATCTAAAATGAAATACACATATATCTTTTAAAGGAAGATTCAAACCTGTACAATTTTTATACAGTAAAGAAATTAGAAAACAAATGCTTTAGGGGTGGTGTTAGGAGTTTCACTGTACATTTTTCTCTGAAATGAGAGAATCTACAAGAAAAGTGGCTATAAGAAAATGGCTAGTAGAACATCTGGTACTGACCTATTAAAACAACGGAAAAATGTATTTCTGACTCCCCAGAGAAACTGTGTTTGCTGCCTATCACTGAATATGCCACAGGGCACGTTACATGGGAGAAAACTGATTTTTAGTCTCATAAGAAATAGATGGCGCTTGACACAGTCTATAGCCTGATATTGACAGTTTCTGCAGGTTAGAAATGGTGCCTGGAAAGCTGATGAACATAAGGCTGCAAAAAATACCTTGCTGTGAGATAGCAACAGAAAGAGCTGCTGCTTCCCCTTCCAGTTAACACTGCCTGGTTTGGGATATGCACTGTGATTCACATGATGTGATTGTAGTCCTCATAGCCAATTGATTGATGTGATGCCATTGTAGCCACTTGTCTATGCAGTTTTCTTATTCAGGTCAGGGCTTTGTCTGCCCTTAACTGTTGATCTGGTGTATTTAATCCCATCAGCATTGGAATGATGAGAGGAACCTGAGCTTCTAGAACTCACTGGGTTTTTTTTTACTAGGACTTTGATACTAATTGTTCTACCAGAAAAAAATCTCAGCAAATGCAATGAATTTTAAAAGCATATCGTTACAACCACTGCTCTGTCAGATGAGCTTAGCGCTTTCATTAGCCACAACTATAGCTCTTCTACATATTATTTCAAACTTCTCATAGGAGTTCTGTACCTAATTTCACCCTCTCCTCTGTATGCTGGCTTCTGGCATAGAGTAATGTTGCTGTTTTCCATGTTAACAGATACTCTGCTGAGGCCAATTCTATGGAGCACAGCTGTTCCTGCTGCAGGGAATCAAGGACTGCTGTGAGGGAAGTGGAACTGCAGTGTCCCACTGGGCATTCGATTTCACATAAGTATGTATATGTGGAAAGCTGCAGCTGCCAAGACACTGAATGCAGCATCTCACAGTCCAGTGAGTCGCAAAGCACAGAAGAAAAGGCGAGCACCCTGAACCGTATCAAGAGGGCCATCAGCTTGACATCAAAATGAAAGGGGAAAAGACTTAGCAGCATTAAATTTTATGAAAGGACTATGCACCATACTCATCTTCCTTGACTACTTCTGAACTTTGCTTTTCCCAGTTACTGTATCCTGTTTGTTCTCTGATTATTTTTAACAGTGCTCTATTTATTTGTGCACAACATAACACAAATTTGTGTTCTTCCAAGTGCACAGCCTTTTAGGTCCTTTTATAATCATCTTATTTTCTCTGACTGATTAAAAGCACATTTCAAAAAAACATGGGTTTTGTACTTATTCACACACTGTCTTGATGAACCTGAGTTTTAAAAGAGAAAACTTCTTTCTCAAGTTATAGGAAGTCAACTGATGTATTTCCTAAATTTTGAGGTATCTATTTCCGGCTCCTCAAAACCTGAAATATCAGAAGGTACTGTCTTGAGGACCCAATGTGTAAGGTGGGGCAGAAGTGGTGTTGTCTGCCAGAAAAAAGCCAAAGATGAAAAAAACATCATTAAGTGATTCAGATGGCTCAGAGAACCTTCTAGTTCAGCACCAGAACTCATTTTAGCAATTTACACTGAAGACTAAAATCTCCCTTGCTTCATCTTTTTTTGCTTGTTCTGTAGTTTACATGGGCTCTTTCTGTTCCTTCTAGTGATGGGTAAGCTACTTACAAATAAGGAAGTTAAAAGATCCTATTAAAAAGTTGGTAAGGCTGCAGATTTTGTTTTCGCCACTGCAGGGCAGTCTGTGGCTAAGAATTTAAAATTACATCTGCCACAAAAGAGCAGTCTGCCTCCAAAAAGGAGTGTGTACATCATCAAGTAGAGGGCTTTACCTCTGAGAAGAATGAATGCTGGTATTTCCCCACAGACACTTGTATGCTCTTAGTAAGCACTGGAAAAAAAAACAACCAACCATCTGACAGGAATTTACATGTGTGCACAGGATGGTGTTTCTTACAGTGCTCTGGATTATAGCAGCCCTTTCAGTTTTGGTGCTGGGCCAGTGCTGCCCATAAGCAGGCTTCCAAGCAGGTGCTGTCAGAGAAGTTTTACAAGTGCTTGGCAGTTCCAGGTCAAACTGTACAGGTTCCAGGTCAAACTGCAGGTCAAACCTCACACCTGCATTTCCATTAGAACTGGATGACAAAATTGAACAGAGTAAACTTTCTGCAGCAGAGAAAGCCACAAATAGTCTTTTGGAGAGAAAGGAAGGAAAAAAAAACTTTAAATGTGTATCCCTACAAAGAGAGTAGTAGTAGCAGTGACCAGCAATTTTGCTCCTTCCCACAGCCCTCTTGGAAGTAAATGGAGACCTGTCCTACCTGATCCCATGGAGAGTGTTGTTTCTTAAACAAGAGCTTTATTGGGTATGCAGGTCATCTGGAAAACCCAGGGAACAAACTGAAGAAGTATCTCACAAGGCAATGTCAGCCCTTTAGGGGCTCAGAGGAGATGGTGGAACCTTCTGATCCCATCGTCTCACAGGCAGGACTTACTGCAAGGGGCACTGACAGCTTCATAAAAAGCACTGCTGCTGGAAGGGAATGGGCTTGACTCCTTCTGCCACCCAAGAACCACTTCATTCTCCAGGAATTCCCTTGTCTTCTGGAGTCTAGCAAGAAAGGAACAGTAGCAAGAGCCCCGTCAGAGTTCAGCTGGGTGGCAAAGTGGTTAAAACACTGTCATGTCTCCATGCCTGAGTGCTGTATTCATCTCCTCTTTTCTGTCTAGACTCCTACTGTCAGTGGTAGTAAAGGGTTTTGTTTTGTTTTGTTTCTTTTTCTTCAGTTACTTAGCAGTTTTAGTCTTGCCTTGAAAAAAGAGGAAGCCTTCTTGGGAGGCAAGTGGGACTTGTAGCTACACAGCCTTTGAAAGCACCAAAAGCCAGAGTCCTAGCTCGTTCTCTCCAAGAGGTGCTTAGTTTGGCCTCGCATTCTGTTACATTGTCCCTAAGCAAAGATAAGCAGAGTTCCTCTAAGCATGGGGTTTGAACATGTTCTTGAGGCCCTCAAAGTGCTTGAACCTGCTCGCACATTCTGATGAACAAAACAGAACAAAACAAAAAAAAAAACCACCATGGCTTTATTGCTGCTTTCTGTAAAGGAAGTGCAGGTATGGGCAGGCTAAAATTCTCAAGTACAGGCTAGAGCTGGGATTTAACTGTAGCATGATTATTGCCTCAGTTGCCAGAGCATGTGATTTTGACTCCTTGCCTCAGGTGCAAGCTCCTCCAAGGCAGCTGGAAGCTCAAGCAAATCCTTCCCAGGAACCTGCAGTCTTACAGGAAGCTCCTTACAGGATAGAGTTAGACCACTTTAGCTAATGGTTGACTGCACCTCATGAAGGGTGCTGTTGCCACAGCAGCTGAGGGCCTCCAGTGCAGCTCTTGACACATTTGACTACCCTAATAACCAATAAGAAGAAGGTCATTGTCCTACTGCATTATGGGCCATTTGGGGAGGATACACACAAACATTGCCTTAGATGTATCCTGAGTCTTCCTTATGGTAGGTTACATGCTTCCCTGGAAGCAAGGTGGTTGTGGCATGCACCATATCTGTGGAAGTACATGCATTTTATTCCCAGTTGTGGACTTCCAAGGTAGTCTGAAGCTCAGACAATTTCTTCCTAATTACCTGGAGATGCATTGGAAAGTCCGTGTTGTTCATATGACTCTCAGTAATACAGTGAGAACTTTCATCTGGAGTTAAAAAGGAGTTCTCAGAAGATTTGCTGGTAAAGTGAGCACAGTTGTTTTATGAACCATTACTGGTCAAGTGTTTTGAGAACACCAGGGATAGAACAGAAAATCCTTGTTAGAAATATGGAAAAATCACTGCTGCTGTCTGAGGTGAGGCAGATGTGATTCAGAAGGGGATGAAAAAGCCACGTGCAAACCAAGGAGAACCCTCCCCAAAACAATACAAGGGAGGGATTTCTGATCTAACAACTACCTTATTTATTGATGTAACTATGTATTAAAACATTATCTTTTTGAGCTGTAGGGGAGGAAGGGTAAGATAACATTTTCCGTATGTTTACTGTCGGACTGTGCTTTGCTACACCACACTTCACTGACTTAAGCACATGCAACTCTGCACATAAGCCCCAACGAAAGGACTTCAGCAAAGG